CGCGCAGTGCGGGGCTGGGCTGCGCAGGAGGCAGCTCCTCCCTCTCGCTATTTATTCCTCCCCGGAGCTCCGTGCCTGAATCACCTCGGAGCGAGCAAGCAGCGGGTTACCSGTCGGTGAGTGTCGGGAAAATGGGACGCGGGGGCTTTATTCGGGAGGGATAAATCCAGGGGCGAGGGGACATTTAACGCCGAGCAGCGTTATAGGGATGGGGGCTGCCTATTTGCCGGCCATCGCCGCCGAAAAATAGACATTTCCAGCGTTTTCTTAAAMGGCAGAGCTCTGTTCCTGCCCGGGGCTTGTTTACTCAGCGCTGATACAATGCTGGCGCGGGTGGGGAATTTCTTCTCTTTTCCCTCGGCTGCCAGCTGCTCCCCCGTTGTTTGGGGGATTAAAAGAGAAGGRGAGAAAGGGGAGATTTCTACACCAAGAGGTGACATTTTCAGGGASCAAGTTCCCAGAACCCCAGCTAGGAATTTCCACCCCCGCAAGCCAGGACATTCCCAGCGTTGCCAGGAGGGTCCGGACACCCCCATTCCCGAGCATCTTCCCACCTCCACCATCCCCACCTCCCTTCGCTCATTCTCCCCGCGAGCCTTCCCAAGGTTATTTCTGCAGTTATTTTGGCACCCGGGTTTTGGTTTTCCCCTCCAAACCGAAACCTCCTCCTTGCCAGCCCCGAGCRCGTAATTGCTGCTTGTGATCGCTCCTCGCAGCCTCCATTTTCCTCTCCCCCTGAAGAAACACAGAGTTCCTCCAGTTCTCCGGCACGGATAGAAATCCCTCCGATATAAACCGCCTGAATTAATTTCTCATTTCCAGCATCGGCAGGGAGGGAAAATTTGGGGAGGGAGGTTAAAAAGCGTCAGGAAAAAAAAGCGCCTGTGAAGCCACTCGATCTATAATTTAGTATTAATATCAYGGTCGTGCCGTAAATGTCATTTCCAAGCATGAGAGATCCCAGCTCCGGGCCTGAGGAAATGGGTCCTGACCCCCATCAGGGGTTTGTGCAGGAAACACATTAATTTGGGGTGAAGCTCAGCACTCGCTAATTAGCGTGACGCAAACGAGCTYGTGCCCTGTTTATCAGAGCTCGGCTCTAAAGGCACTTAGAGGAGCAGGTCAGTGCTGCCGGGCTGGAGCATCCTCCAGGGCTTTGCCAGAACCCGTTTTCAACCAGGGGCCGATCTTATTCCCTCGGAACTCAGAGTGGCGAGTGATATCTCCAGAAATATATTACAAATTTGCCAAGTTGCTGCATTTTCCTCCTCCCGTTTTAATTTTTTTTCCAAATATTCAAAGAGCGTTCACTCATTTGATTGTTTTTCACTGTCTTTTGGCTATTTTTAACCCCYCCTATCTCATCCCTGCCCCCAGCGGGTGGGTGCTGCAGGGTGAGGGAGGCAGCAAACCCACTCCAAAGCGAGTGCCTTGTGCCCAGATTTTTCCATGAGCAGGCAGGCCAAGCCTGGAATTGCTGCCCATCACCAGGGAWAGGCTTGTGCATCTTCCTGCATGTTTATTGAGGCCTCTTGCTAACAATCCCACTCAAAGTACTGACCTATAAAGGGCTTTAATTCAATCTTTTCTGGACATAAGACCAGATTTTGGTGGGGGGAAGGGGAGAAAAAGCATCATTATCTAAACCCAGAGATTAATTTGCTTTTTATGGGTTACAAAGCCATATCTAGGTTGCTACAGAAGAATTTCTGGCTTAACGTGTGGCTTGTTTGGCCTCTTTGGCTGTTAAGGGCAGCATCTCAGGAAAGTTCAGCACCTCCTTCCTGCATTAAGGTTATCCCTGAGGTGACTCCATAGGAAGATGGTTGATTAATTGCTACAAAAAATTACAGGACTCAGAATTTAATTGTTTCTTGCTTTAACATGAGCCAGAAGGCACATCCAGAGATGCTGTGAAAGGCCCACCCACACAGAGAATGCTTCTCTCACCCTCCCCAGCAGGCACAGGGGGATTTTGGGGGGGTAGCTCAGTCTCAAGGAGGATGGGAAAACCCTTTGCTATTGTTGCACTCACACCTTAAACACAGMGGAGCAGCAATTGAATGCCCTTGGTTTTTCGGGGAGACATCTGAAGGGGTTTTGCAGCTTGGGAGGTGTTTTCCAAAGGGCTTTCCAAAGGATTTGCAGACCTAGTGTGGGTTTTAGAGGCTGGATTATGTTCATAGGGAAGGAAATGCCTCGTTAAAGGGGATTTCATCCTTGCCAGCCAACATTGGAGATGCCTGGCATGCCCCTGGAATGCTGAGTCAATGGATCTTTGCAAACACATTGAACTAAAAAAATGCTGGTTTTCAGTTAAGGCCTGTTGCCCATTAACAGGGATTTGGGTAAAAAACATTGAATTCTGTTCTTTGGGAAAAGAAAACCTCTGGGACCAGGCCGGGCCAGGCTGGGCGTTGCCCTCCTTTCAGCACCAAGTACCCGAAAGCTTTGGGACTGGGTTGAATCTGCTCATGGCATTGATCCTGGCACACCAGAATTCTCATTTCTATGCTCAGACAGGATAGGACAGGTTTGATAAGTGGAGTTTTACCTCCGAATCATTTTGGTCTTAAAACGTTTTCTTCCAAAAGCTTTTCTTTCACTACTTAAAACTGCTGTTACCAGCAGGGGCCCTGTATATATATATATATATATATATATATATATATATATATATATGTGTGTGTGTGTGTGTATGTGTGTGTATATATGTAAAATATAAAATATTTATGTAAAAATAAGGAGTTTTTGGGGGGATAGCTATGCATTTAGTCCAAATTTGTTTATTCTGCAGCTGTGTTTAAGGGGACCAGATGTGTTTTCTGTGATGCATAAGTGAGGGAGTGCCATCCCACAGGGCTGTCAGGGATGTGTGACCCTGCCCTGATGCTTTCTGTCCCTGTCCCCCACAGCCATGGCCAGGCTCCTCAGCACCTGCTGCCTGCTGCTGCTGCTCCTCGGCATCTGCACTGACATCGCCTTCTCCAAGAAGGGCAAAGGCAAACCCAGCGGAGGCGGTTGGGGCACGGGGAGCCACCGCCAGCCCAGCTACCCCCGCCAGCCCAGCTACCCCCACAACCCGGGCTACCCCCACAACCCGAGCTACCCCCACAACCCGGGCTACCCCCATAACCCAGGCTACCCCCACAACCCGGGATACCCGGGCTGGGGACAGGGGTACAACCCATCCAGCGGAGGAAGCTACCACCAAAAGCCGTGGAAGCCCCCCAAACCCAAGACCAACTTCAAGCACGTGGCGGGGGCGGCGGCAGCGGGGGCTGTTGTGGGGGGGCTGGGGGGCTACGCCATGGGCCGGGTGATGTCGGGGATGCACTACAGCTTTGACAGCCCCGACGAGTACCGCTGGTGGAACCAGAACGCGGCGCGCTACCCCAACCAGGTCTACTACCGCGACTACCGCGACCACAGCGGCCCCGTGCCCCAGGACGTCTTCGTGGCCGACTGCTTCAACATCACCGTCACCGAGCACAACATCGGCCCGGCCGCCAAGAAAAACGCCTCGGAGGCCGGCGCGGCCGCGAACCAGACAGAGGCAGAGCTGGAGACCAGGGTGGTGACCAAGGTGATCCGGGAGATGTGCATCCAGCAGTACCAGGAGTACCGCCTGGCCTCGGGCATCCGGCTGCACCTCGCCGACGCCTCCCTCGCCGCTCTGCTGCTCCTCGTCCTCTTCACCCTGCACTAGAGTGCCCCGGGTGTCGCAGCTTCGAGATGTCACCCGTGTCCCTGTGGGGTCCCCCTGGCCCCCCCGTTCTTGCTTGTGGTCATTCTTGGGGAAGAGCCCCCGGGGCACGCGCCTCCACCAAGTCTCTGGTTTAGGCAATGGGATGAAGATTTCCTTCTCTGCCCCGAACACATCCCCAGCGAGGCASGACAGCGCTGGAGCTGGATGCCCAAAACACAGCTTTCACCATCTCCTCCTCCCTGAGCCCACCCTGAGAGGGATGAGGCAGAGGGGAGCTCTCCTTGGTATCCCTGCAAGGGCATTTTTGAAAATCCCTTTTGCTAACAGGCAGGGTTTTATCTAATTCCCTTAGTCCCGCTGCCACCACACCCCCTTTCCCTGGGGCACCCCAGCATCTCTGTCCCACTGGGATTTCAGAGGGGCAKACATGGGGTTTTCAAGCTGCCAGTCTGAAATTTTAACCCTTCAGTCCTAAAATACCCTTGCCCCTGTACATAAGGACCTGACACTGCACACCCTGCATGCTGCAAAAACCTGCTGCAGCAATACACCAAAATGAAGTAATTTTTTATTCCCCCCTGCTGCAAGGCTGAAGCATCAGTTGGTCTTTGAAGTCAGAAAATGCAGCTGAATGCCCCAAACACCCCCAAAATAGTTTATTGCAGCCCAAGAAAAAGCTATTTTGGATCCTCTAGGTGACAAGTCATGTTCATACTTCAGCACCTTGACCCAAAGGATGTTAAAATGCAGCAAAAAGGATTCTCAGGGGGGTCAAGCACATAGCAAGAGACTGAAATCAGCTATACCACATAGGTACAGCAAACAGCATTGGGAAAAATGGGCCTGGGAAGGGAGATGCTTTAAAAAAAATCACATTTATGAGTAATTCCTTTGACACGTGGAAGCAATGGGTGAAATTGCTTCTTGTGTGCTGGGTCAATGCTGGGCTGGGAACAAGCTGTAACCTTCTGTGGCGCTGCGCTTGTCAAACCGAGCTCTATTTAATATCCCTCGTGTATTTTTTTTGCAAGGCACTGAATAACACCGTCCTAAATGAAATTTTTTTTGCATTGGTGTAAGCTAAGTGAAAATATATTATATATATATATATAAAAATAGAGAGAAAATAAACCTTTCAGGATATCCACTGGAAAAGCAGGGCTTTGAGGTGTCCCGTACTTTGTGATATGCTAATGTTTTGTAAACTGTCTCGGTGCATGCCCGGAATTCGCTGTGCTGAGCCTTTTCTAAGTGTTCAACGTCTGGTACAAATTAAAATGGATAAAGCCAAGGTGCCCAGCAGCCTCCTTCGTAAAACAGCTCCCAGTCAGCCTCGCTGAACAGAAGCAGCATTTTTCACCCTCTGTGTCCCCTCCCTAGCCTGTGGAAGCCTTTGTTCCCTTCCAGCACTGAATTTGGCCCAAACCCCACAATCTTAGTTAACCTTTTCTCCYCCCCTACTCCCACTGATGGTATCACTACAATCCAACAAGTATTTTCTAATTTCTGTCTAATTTCTTCCTAATAAAAGAATTTTTACATTTGCTGTTTCAGTGGCGTTAAGCCTGACCCAAGCCCTACTTAATCATGGAATCCTGGAATGGTTTGGGCTGGAAGGGACCTTAAAGCTCATCCAGTCSCACCCTCTGCCATGGGCAGGGACACCTTACACTATCCAGGGTGCTCCAAGTCCTGTTCAGTGTGACCTTGGACACTTCCAGGGATGGAGCAGCCACAGTTTCTCGGTGCACCCTGTGCCAGGGCCTCATCAYCCTCACAGGGAAGRATTCCTTCCCAATATCCCATCCAYCCCTGCCCTCTGGCASTGGGAAGCCATTCCCTGTGTCCTGTCCCTCCATCCCTTGTCCCCAGTCCCTCTCCAGCTCTCCTGGAGCCCCTTCAGGCACTGGAAGGGGCTCTCGAGTCTCCCTGGAGCTTTCCCTTCTCCAGGTGAGCCCCCCCAGCTCTCCCAGCCCCAGAGGGGCTCCAGCCCTGGGAGCAGCTCCGTGGCCTCCTCTGGATTTGCAGCAGCAGCTCCACATCTCCAGTTGGGATCCCAGGGTTGGGGACAGCTCTGCAGGTGGGATCTCACCTGAGTGGGGCTGAGGGGCAGAATCCCCCCAGAGCTGCTGCCCACACTGAGGGATCAATCCAGGCTCGATGCAAATCAGTCTCAATGCAATTTATTTCCATTTATTTGCATTTCACAACTGATACACAACCAGCAGAGGACCCATCCTCTAACAGAGCAGGCTCTGATGAGCTGCWGTCCAGCGGTAGGAGGGAAAATCGCCACAAAAGAAGGAAGGAAAAAGCTTCACCCCATCCACAGGAAGGGAACAAAACCTCCCCAGAAGAATGAACAAAACCCCCCTATTTTCTGAGATGAACACATGGGTATTTCCAGGAAGAGGCTTCCAGCACTTGCACAATGAATTCCCCTGGGGAGGGTTTGACCTCAGCAGCAGCACTATAAATTGTTCATTTTTAACCCCAAACCCCCCATCTTCAATTCCCTTTCTCCCAGCACAGGGAATCTGTTCCAGCCTYCCAATCACGGGAAACACATTGGCAATGCTCAGATGAGCTCAGAAATAACAATTCCTTCCTCCCCACACACACAGCACTGCRATTTTTTACCCATCCTGGAGGGAGTGGGAGTTTAAGTGATTTCTGGAGCCATCTACTCKGCAGGGAATGTGAGAACATTCCTGGCTGCAGGAGCACTTGAGCAGGATGTGAGGACACATCTGAACCCTTGTGTCCTTTAAGGACAGCTGGATGAAGWAACTCCAGAGCCCTTTGGGCCCCCTGATCTGTTGAACCAGAGAAATTAATTAATTAGCTAAATACTCCAAATCCWGGAGCGTGCACAGGAGCCACACACGGAGCGAGCATGGGGAGAGTTTCTGATTTACCAGGTTGATAATAAATACACCCCGAAGTATAAATACATCCCGAAGTATAAATACACCCCAAAGTACAAATACACCCCAAAGTACAAATACACCCCAAAGGATAAATACACCCCAAAGGATAAATACAATGAAATTTGAGGGTTGTTCTTTCAGTCTCCTCCAAATCTCTCATCACACAGCACTTGGCAACCCCCATCTCCGTAAATAAACATCCCCCATCCAGACAGAGCAACTGAATACATTTTTCCTGCCTGGAAAAAGCTGTAAAAGGAGGAATTTTGGTGCACAGGTGGCCAGTTAGCAGAGAGCTGGAGGAGGAATGGTYTGATTTAGAGGCTTGAAATGCAAATCAAGGGAGGGGAGGGGGTTAATCGCTGCCAGGGTCCGGTGCTGGGGATCAGCGGGGCCGCTTTTCCGGGCGAACAGCTCCATCTCCCGTCCGAACACACAGSACGCTCCAAAATCCAAAATAGGCTGAGCTTTGTGCCGGCCACGGTCGAACCTGGCGCTCACTCGGTCGCTGTTTCGGAGAAAATCGCCGGGAAATGCCTTGATTTGATTTCAGCCACTCTCCCGGAAAAGCAAATCCCGAGGTATCTTGGCGTCTCGGGATGCTCAGGATCAGCGGTGCTCCCCTGCAGGGCATTCAACCCCAAAACTCCCCAGCACAAGGTGATTAACTAGGATGTTAACGGCTATTAAAGCGCTTTTTTTTTTTTTTTTTTTTTTTTTTTTTTTTTTTTTTTTTTTTTTTTTTTAAACCTGCAGCCCAGCCCTTTGCCGGTACTGGAAATTAAACTGCGGGGAAGCAGAAGCTTTTGGGTTGGAAGGGACTCTAAAAACAATTCAGTCCCACCCTTCATCACAGGTAGGGTCGCCTTTCCACTGTCCCAGATTGCTCCAAGCCCTGTCCAGCCCGGCCTTGAACACTTCCAGGGATCCAGGAGCAGCCAAAGCTTCTCTGGGAATTCCATCCCAGCCCCACCCCACCCTCACAGGGAGGAATTTCTTCCCGATATCCCATCTAACCCTGCCTTCTGGCAGTGGGAAGCCATTCCCCCTTGTCCTGGCACTCCATGTCCTTATTAAAAAATCCTTCCCAGGTAAAAAGTATCCCCATGTACTGTGCACTGATGAGAGGCTAAAGGCAAGAAAAAATTGAGAAGAGCAGGGTCATTCCTGCTGCATTTCTGAGCTCAAATTAGGGCCATGAGCAGAKGATGCTCATCATGGATAGGACATTGAAGCATTTACCTGGGCCTGGATGCAAAATATATGGTGGAAAAATGCAAATCCAAGATGTAGCTAAAAGTTCTGTCATGTTTGTTTGGTATTTTAAACAAACACATTAAAAAACAACCTGTCAGTGCATTGTAGGAATGGATGGGTTTGTTCAGCTGAAAGCTGAAAAASCAGGGATGACAGTGATTTGGACAAGGCCATGGGTCTCAGGTGCATCCTTGCTAAAAAATGTTATTGAATCTCCCAGGTGCCAAAAGAGTTCTGTAAAGTTTTTTACAAAATATTGTAAAAGAGCCCCCAAAATAAATATCCATGGGCTCAGGTTTCTTTCAACCCCCAGTAGAGGTGAGGCCCAACTCAGCTCCTCTCCTGGGGAGATGATAAGGATTTTCATATCCTCAAATCCACTAATTTCAAGGAGAGATCACCCACTTACAAACATCCAGGCTCAAAAATCCTTCAGTGCGGACTTACCTGCTGGAGGATGGTAACTGCACCTGCCCACAAGCCTTTTTGAGATCCGAAGTTTTTCACTTGACATTGGTTTATTTTCTTTTCTCACAGCAATGGTTGAGCTGCTGCTGTTAAAACCAGAATTTAGGCGAGGTTTGACCCACCAGGCCAGGGATTAGAGAAGAAATTGCATCTGGAGGGAAAAACACCCCTTACCATTCCTTTTAATCTCTTCCAAGGAAGATTTTCCTCCGCACTGACACACACAAAGCACCAGAGACAGRGTCAGTCCAATAGCCAGGTGTGTTTTGGGCAGGGGATATTATATTTTGGGATATCAAAGATTGGGATAAATGATATCAAAGCCAGACAGATGGGACTGAGTGGGGTTTGTCTCCCAGCATCCCGTTCACCCCCACAGCATCCCTTAGAGATGTGACTCTTCCTTGTGTTACTCTTGGTGCTAAAGACAATGGATTTGGTTAAAACCAGAGGGTGTCTCAAGGCCAAACTTTATTGAAAGGCAGAGGGGTCCGTTTCCAAGCCCCACATCCTCCCTCCCCACAAATCCCAGCGCTCTTCTGGGGAAAAGGAGCATTTTTTGGTAAAGCCATGCAATGGGAAACCAGAGCTGAGCGCTGGCAGGGCTGCTCCAGCATCGCTCCGGGTGCCGATTTCCACAGGTCCTTGCAGGGCTGCGTTTGCTCACAGAGCTGCTGTCCCAGGTGGGGCTGGCAGGATGCATCGGGCTCCCGGGTGAGCACCGGGATGGCA